TCCTAGTGTTGTGTGTGTGAGAGACGAGTTGTTGGGCTGTCTCTTATACACATCTAGATGTGTATAAGAGACAGGCAGGGGGGGGGGGAGGCAGGGGAACAGAATCGGGATTGTAAGGACAAGAGAAAGACGGACAGGGAGCAACGGAGCATGCAGGTAGGGGAATGATTAGGAGTTCCAGATCGGGTAAAGGTGGCATTGAAGGTAGGGAAACGATTGGGACAGGATGAAAAGAAGAGAATTGCGAAAGGTGGGGACAAATACAGATAGGTTCAGAGGGGAATAGAGAGAGGTTCGGAGTACAACGGGAAGAGGAGGCGAGAGAATTCCAATCAGGGAAATGTGGTATGGGGGCGAGAGGAAGAAATTCGGAGGACAGCACCACAACATACGCAAGGCGGGAATATTCCGAAGAACAAAAAAAAAACCAAACACAAACAGAGATAATTGCTATTTTGAGCAAAAAAAACAAACAACAAGCGAGTATACTTGCAAAAATGGAAAGGTATTCGTCATCTCTATCAAAAAAAAAAAAGGCATCTGCAAGCAAAATTTGTGTTCGCATGACATGCACACAGCTTTTTTTTTCTCCCCTGAAAATACAACCACATCATTTGCCTCTCCCTGTTAAAAGAGTTCTGTTTTCTCAAATCTATGCGTCACACAATGCAGTATGTTCATCTCAATGATCTCCTCTTTCATTGAACTTCTCTCTGTTCTCATGATCTAACAATTAAATGTTGGCTGCCTTTTTTCCCCTTGCCATATTTCTCGCTTTGGATCTGTGGCCCGCAAAGAGAAAAAAACAAAACCGGCCATCTCCCGGTGCCGTCCCCGGCCCCCTCCTCACCCTTCCCCCCGGCCGCAGCGGCGCTGCGGCGGGTCCACTTGTATCTATAAAAGGATAAACGGATGATGATAATCGGCGAGGGAAACCGCAAGCGAGAGGAAGAACACGAATAAATTAGTGATGAAGATGGTGGACAGGCTCCTGGACTACCCTCGATAAGATTGTGATTCATGTCTCTTTCATTTCGCGCCTGTTTCTCTGTGTTGGGGAGGAGGGGGGGGGG